TGGTGAATGGTTCAAAAAGGTCCTCCAAGAGGTACACCTCATTGTCAAGCGGTTTCACCTGCAAGTGTCGTAGGAGGATGTGTGCGAGATCCTGACAGAACTGGTAAGGATACACCTGTGCCAGTTTGGTCCTGCTTCCGAAGGTACCAGCGTTTCCCTCTAGGGGTTGGTGTTCATGCTTGACTGAGCTGGAAAAAATTTTACACCTTCTGAAGATCGGTCTCATTACCTCGGGAGGTAAACAGTGCATCAAGCTCGTGGGCTTGAGACTTCTGAGCCCGGATTCAGGATCCTTAAGTCCGTATGCACAGAAATGGAAATCTCCCCAGGTCACGGATGGATCTGAAAACAATTACTACATACATTTCAAATACCATATCCTAAATGTCTGAAAATTTTCGATGATGAAGTATCTTCTGTGCTTCAACTGATATCGCGCAATGGATGCCACAAATTCAACCATGAGAAGGTAGCGTCTCCGCTTTTCCCCAACCTTTTGTTGGTCTTGTTGGATGTTCTGCATATTTGACCATGGTCCACAGACCGGTGCCATTAGGATGACATCAGGTGCTTGTTCCCTGATGATCTCCATGACCATGCGTCGTCCCTTGGATGTCATTACGTCGAATCCTGTGCGGATGTCTACGGGAGTCCCAACCTTAAGACCTGATAGTGCACAGCATTGACTGAATCTGGCACTTCCTGCAAAGATCTCGAGAACGTGGATCTTTCCCTTACGTACACAATTCCAATGTGCTTGTTCAGGAACGGATGTGAGGTCCTCGACGAACATGTTCTCTGCTGGATGAGGTACTACAGGTTTTGGAGTTGTTTTTCCCGCGATACGTAATGGCACTGAGGATCTTGGCTTAGGAGCTGGTGCGGATGATTCCTTTTTCTTGGTATCTGCAGAGGAGCCTGGTTGCTCCTTCTGCAAGGATTCTCGCTCTTCTGGTAATAGAAGATCAATTCCGGGTTTCCCCAAAAGGATGGTTTCATCCTTCCTGAGCTTCGTCATGTTAACCTTGATGAGTCGAGTCCCAAGATCACTCCTTCAATGGAAATGACCTTTCCTTTTAGCCATATTCCTCCCTTGCTTCCATCGGATTTGTCTTCCTGCCAGTAGAATACCTTGTCCTTCACCTGAAGAGGCTTAGAACTCATTCGGAGATTTTGAGCAAGGTCTCGTCGGATGTCTTCGGATTGACGCGCTTCTTGGAAAGCTTGCTTTGACAGCTGCTTGATCTGGATGGCTGTCAGCTCTTCTTCATTCCTGTCAATCGTCAACTGAGTTGGTGTTGCGACACCGAGTTGGATGAGATCTGCTGGTCGTCTTCCGAATGCGAGCTCCAATGGTGTTACACCCCCGTAGGTGACGGTCTGATTCCGGACAGTTGCAGCGGCCTTCACTAGCTGCCTGTATGTCACTTTCTTCAGTGTTGCAGGTGCTGTACCTGCCTTGATGGAACTTAGCATGATCTTGAGTTGTGCCTTCAGGAGTCGAACTGCTGCTTCAGCTCGATTTGGCCATGGTGTATTCGGTCCCAAGGATATCGGTGTGATGTCAAGGGACTGATAGAAATGTTCCCACGTATCTGTCATGAAGGCTTGATCTGCGACAACTGATTTGGGCTGCAAGTGGTACTGGTCAAAATAGTTCCTGAGGACAGTGATGTTCTCGGCTTCTTGCGTAGTTGTCACTGCCTCTGCAGTGAGCAATGTTGTTGCTCCATCCAGGATGACAAAAACAATGATGTGTTCTCCTGTTCCAAGAGGAACTTGACAGTGATCAATGAATGTCATGTCACCAAAGGTGTCCGCTCGAAGTCCACTTGTTTTGCTTCGTGACGGTGCATGTTTTGCCGCTTGGCAAACTTCACACTCACTTCGGATTTTGTCAAATAGATCGAATGTTGATTTCGGCAAATGAAGTGCGCGGGTTCTAAATCGAAATTGATCTGTTGTCATGTGATGATGCTGTAGGTGGAGTTTCTTCAACTCTTCGGGATTTGACAATCGCTTGTGGATTCTGCCTAGGGCAAGCGGAAGCGATGTTGGTTCATCTGAGGATGGTGTAAAAGGATCTGGCTCAATGGTCGACCGGCCCCTCTTGTCGATGATCCTGTCTGCTGCCGATCCTGAACCTGCTTCTTCGTCCTTAAGCGAATTGTCCGCGAAGGTGAATACCTGTCCACAGGTTAATCATTGGTTTGTTTGCCTGGGGTGTAAGTCTCCAATTGTCTTCTAGAATGTCTGGATCTCCACCTGCGGATGCATCAATGATTTGCGTAGTACGTTCTCGGCTAATGTGATCAGGATTGATTGGACACTCCTTGGCTCCATTTGGTGTGAACAGCGCCTTTCGGGGCGTGATGTGCACGCGGATGAGCTGCTTGTTCTTCTTGTCAAGGATCCTATGGTCCTGCTTTTGAGACCCAATGATGTTAGGAGTTGCTAGGTCCTCCTTTGTCTCGGATGATTTTGCTGCACAAACAGTTTCGCTCTTGGTGAGATCCCCGGAGGGAAACTTGATGCTGTTATCATCGTCATAGACATAGTTGGTGAGGCCCTTGTGAGCAATTTCTCCATGCGCCTTCACTCTTGCAACTCCAGCGAGATCGACGAGTGCATGTCCTGTACCGGATACTGGAACTGCTTGACGGTTCATGCCAAAGGCCTTGCATGTGATCTTGTCACATTGAGGTGTGTGCTCGATGGTCATGTAGAGGTTCCGCATCTGGCTGATGCTGAGGAGGATCGGTACAGTTCCTTGTTCAAGGACGTCGATGTTGGTACTGCATGGAGGAGTTGTGTGATATCGAAGATGCAGGGTCCAATTTACCCTGGCGGTCTCTCCGTTTGCAAAAGTGAACTTGGTCTCGGCCGGGATGTACTGATAGGAGATGATGTCCTTCATTGGTTCGATGGCCTGAGTAAAACGCTGGATTGCATGCCAGCTGCCCATAGATCTGGTACATCCATTGTCCAGAATCGCATAGGTCGGGTTGTGCTGAGGGTTGATGACAGGCGCCATCAGCTTTGTTGCCAGAAGGCTGTGATTTGTTGTGACGGACAGATTGTGTTCTGAAACTGTATCTGATTGGATCAGCTTCCCGTGGATGGCCTTTTTCCCAGGATGCTCATATGCATCATGGAATGCCATTAACGCTTGTCCTGTGCTGGATGTCTCATGGGATGAGTACCAGCCATGTTCGTTCCATGTCCATGATTGATCCCAGTCTTGGTCTGTCCAACCGGCATAGGTAGGCTCTATGGATGGTGCAGTCTGCTGGATGGCGGGCTGCTCCTCCGTCTTCTCTGCGGTGGCTGCGAACGTCTTGGATTTTCCTTTCTCCTGTCCGCTCTTTCCTTTGCCATTCTCATAGGATGGATAACCTTTGTTTCCATCATAGGGATATTGGAATTTTGATTTTCCTTTCTTTCCCTTCTTTCCTTTGCCTTTTCCCCAATATGCCTGGTCGTAGGGATCATAGTTTTCGTTGGCCATATTGGCCTTTCCGCCAGAACCGCTTTTTCTGAAGGGTTTAAAGCCACCCCGTTGGTGACTGCCGTTTTTGTTTAATGATTTTCCTTTTCCTTTTCTCTTCTTGAATTTGAAGTTCCGCCCCGACACTTTTCTTGCTATGAACGCATCGTTCTCCTCGAGGACCCAGAACGTCTCTTCATCGTTGTTTGACATGAATCCTTCAAGTCCTTCTTCATCCTCAACCCAGAAGCCTTCTTCTCCTTCGTATTCACCTTGTTCGATGATGAAGAAGGTGTTGCTTCGGTTGCCTCCTTGAGGTCGGATGGATGGATCTTGGATGGATGTCCTCGTCGTGATGAAGAGTTCATGGTAGTGCGTCTTCAGCATCTCATAGGAGTAGTTTTCTAGTGAGATGTTTCTCAGTGACATTGCACTTGTCAGTCTCTCTCTTTGCTGATCTGACAGCTCACTCTGAATGATGAAAAACTGTGCAATGAGATTATCCCCGAAGGGAAATGCGTCCCGCTGTCTGTCCTGCATTCCTTGGATATACTGTCTGAGGACTACTGGATCATCCTCATTGAGCAGGGCTGGAGGCGGTGCTCGAACACCGGCTGCTTGCTGATGTCGAGCAATTGTTCTTGCATTTGCTTCCTGCACGGATTGTCGAAATGTTGGGGACTGTGCCGTGAAAACGGGCATCAAGTCCATCCATGCTGCCTTCAATCTCATAAGAAGGATTTCAAATTTTGATGTAAAAATGAGGAACTCTTGGTTCTGCCTTCGATGATTGAAGAAACTAAGGAGCCTGTACAGATACACGTTGGTCGCACTTTTCAAAAAGTACTTCTTCAGCGTGTTCTTGAAATAGTTGACTCCTTCATCAGGATCTTGCAAAAGGTCGTTTTGGAGGACTGCCTTGTACATATATGCATCTCCGGTCAATCTGCTCTTGAGCAGAGGTCCTCTCTTGGGTGCTTCCACTGTTGTGATTGTCACCCAGTCGTCCACGAGTTCTTCATACCTGAGCCAGCTGACTTTTCCGTCGTACGATGGCGGCTGCTTGGCGGTCATCGATAAATTGAGTGTTTCCTCCGTATAGCCTGGATTTTTGGCCATACTTGAATAGGCTTCCATGAAGCCTTCTCCATCACATGACATCTTCCCTTGGATCTCTGCGGAAAACCCGCTCCGCTACCACAAATTGAGGCCGGTGCCTATCCCAGAAGGGAACTGGTACCCTGTGGTAGTAGAGGTCGTTGATTTGGTCCCTGGATCTATTCCGGAGAGAATCCAATATGCCACTGTGGATGATTGGAGGATGGATTGTCCCTGGTGGATTGTCTTGTGGATAATCCTGTAAGCGGCCTGCTAAGGTTATTTTGCTTCACGCGATCATGAATGATGCAATGTTACACAAAAGGGGCCTTGAGCCAAATGTTGCAGGAGATCAAGTGTTCATTAAACCAAACACCCCCCCCCCCCCCCCGAACCGGTCTTCCCCACTCGCCAGGCCCCGCAGACATCTGCCGCGGCAGCCGCCCGCCTCAGCCTCGGCGGCCTCGGCGGCCTCGGCGGCGGTCAGCGCCCGCGTGGCGTTGCGCGGCCAGCGCCGCAGCAGAGAGACGGAGAGGCGCGGTTGAAACCCGGACGCGAAAACCCTGAAAACCGTGCATATAGCCACCTCCTTTTCCTTCCTCAACGGTATCCTGGGCATTTTTCCTTTCAAGATTTTGAGGAATCTTACGAGAAACGCATTGAAATACGCATGTTCAAGTTTTTTTAGTTTTTGTTTGTTCCTCTCTTCTTTAGGTTCAGAAAGTACTTCAGGGGCAATCTTGAAACTTGCACGGGATTGGCAAACGAAATCGGAAGCTTCAGTATTGGTTCAGAACTGGCCTATTCTAAAAGTATCGGGGACCCGGCGGCCTTGGAAAAGCCATATTTATGAATAGGGCAAATTTACTCGTAACGGGAAGGGAAAACGATAGAACCATCGTTTGGACCCTGCCCCCAACCCATTCACAGATGATTAAAATGTGGGATCAACGGACGCTAGAGCGGTGTTCCATATTGCTGTGATTGTTAGGTTTTGGGGCCAGGGCTTTAAAAACATGGTTGCGTGTCGTCAGAAGTTCGGATCCGCTGGCCCACACGGTTGGTCATAGTGGGGAAGCTTGTGTGCTAGTCCTGCTGCCCTGGTTGCATTTTGAGGGACCCGCCCCCAAGATTTGCTTGGCTTTCCTTTTGAGGCTAGTTTCGACGATGTCACTTTAGTAGCCCCAGTTGAGTGCCACACTCCCACCCAGAGCCCTCCAACCAGAAAGCAACCATTTGCCTCCCGTAGCCAGGATGAGCATGGGAATCCAGTGAAGCATCCTTCTTTTCGCAGGCTTTTGGGACCCCCCCCCCCCCCATTTCTGCCATGTCCGCAGGGACGAAGCAGACGACGCGGAGGACACGGAAGCGGAGGATGCCTGGGAGGGTTTCGGCACCCCGCGCGCTCTGGACAAGGACGGTGCAGAAGGGGAAACTGGGGTCGTTGGCTCGTTGATGGGTATGGGTCAAAACTTAACCGCCAGAATATGGACCGCAGGTTTTAGTCCTTGGTTCCACTTACCAGGCCAACCCACTTCGGGTACCCATTTTTGACCCACAGCCAGATCATGTTGGAACAAACCCCCGGTTGACTTTCATTGGGGGGAGCCCCTTTGTTGGTAGGAATCCGGAGCACTGTTGTGGGTGTCACCTCCCTTTCAACAGGATGGGCTGATGAATGTTAGGGTGCCATTAAATAGGATATGTTGTTTTTGTTCCTGGTGAGGGGCTTAGGTCTCCAAATTGCTTTTGGAGCTGATGGAAAAGACAATTTGTCCCAACGTAATTTTGAACGCCCTCAGCATGTGCACTTTCAGGCACCCTGAGAATTGACACTGGATTGATGAACCTGCCACAAGCGATCCGGATTCCCTCTTCGAGCCACCCAATCAACGTCAACCAGGATTTCATCAAAAGATGCGGCGTTGCTCAAGGCAAAGCATGTTGAGCGGATGCGAGGCATGAGTGTGTCTCTAAAAACATGTGGTTGCGGTGTTGCGCCGGTTGTGCACTGCGAGCCGAAGATTGGTTTTCCGCAACATGCGGTTTGGAGAGCCCGCGCATTTCTTCCATGTGCTCAAAATTCTAGGGGTTGATTCCCCATTCTTTTCAACCATCGTTCTTTTCAAAAACCGGCTGTTTCCCCTTGGGTCTTTTGGTTTCCTGAAAAGAAGGATCCCTGGAAAGAATGGGGAAGGTACCCCTACCAAAAGGCGTGTTAGGTTCTAGGTGGACATTGACACGACCCGGCCTCTGGCTCGGGCCTCCCAGTGACAGTTCATGGCGAATCATGCTTCGAAGTTCTCCACGGGAAACAAGACAAAGTACTTTGTGTTCTTGCAGGTATGTACCCTCACAACATGGCACCTGACAGGGGTCCCCAGGTTCCATGTTCATGGGTGGGAGGGTAAGTTTGATTTGTTGCTTCCGTTTGTTGTGAGGGCTGCCAACCACCCCTCAAAGGTGCTTGTTGCTAAGAATCAGGCAGACCGCACCAGCCGGAGGAATGCCAAAATCACGCAGTTGACTTCCCACTAGAACGGGTACCAGCTCTCACTAGGGCCACCAGGGTCACGCGAACTGGAGTGGACCAAAACTCAACCAAGGCGTTGTTTCTTCACCACCTCGCTCAGCCAGGGTCCTTTTCCCAGGCTTGGCCGTCCCTTCAGACGCGGATGCGCAATCCTCCTACTTGATTTTAGCGTCATACTCTGTCTACTTGTGGGGATAAAGAAGCTGGTGCCACCTACTTTCACCTGGAGTGCTGCCAAACCCCGGTACCCTCCAATCCCCGGTCCATTTCTTTAGAAATCGCTTGCCGCCAGGAAGCGCTGCTTCAGGAGTTTGTGTCTCATCAGCGGGTCTTGGTGGACACGGAGTTTGAGGAGCAAAGACCCCAGTCGGTCGCCGCCCTCTTTGTGCATGTGTCAAAATATGGCTGTGGGTCAAAATTGGAAACATGGGCTAAAACCTGCGGTCCCCTGCTGGTTTAATTTTGACCCATACCCATAATATGGGAAACCCAAAACCTCTGCTTCCCTTCAAACACCTCAAAAGGGTACCCTCAACAAGCACATGCCCATAAAGCCATATCCCTCCCCGTTTGGTTGGCTAATGCGCCCGATTTCCTACCCGGGTCGCTCGAGAACCCGGATGTTGTGCTTCAAACAACATGGGGAAGGCTCTGGAAGCCGATTGTCGGGGATACTGATGGACGAAATCCATTTCGCACCTCCTAAGAAAGCCTGGAATGATGATCCCAATGTAAATACCAACAAACAAGGGTGCGAAATGGATTTCGCAACCATCCACAGACGATGGTTTCAACCATGCTTTCTTAGGTGGTGCGAAATGGATTTCGCAACCATCCACAGTACCAACGTGCGGGTTCCCTGTTAAATAGGGAGGGCAAAGGCGACGAGTGGCCTTGGACAAATTCCTACAATGTCGCTGGACATGTGGCTTGGGAATCGGGAAAAAGTACAGGTTTCAGCAACCATATTTCTGAGAAACTCTGAACACTTCACGAGTTTTTAGGCGTGGTTGCGGTATGTGAGTTAGTTTGGAAGCCCGAGTTTTTTGATACCAAGGAAACCCGCTTTAAATTGACACGTGACACGTGTAATAGGTACACTACAGCAGTGGGAGATTGAATCTGAAAAGGGCCAGTCCCAATTTCCAGACATGGTTGTAGGAAATGAGGGCTGTTGGAAATGAGTTGCTCCGGGCATCCCATTTTCTATGAAATCCAGAAATCAACTCTCTTGATGGGAAATGAGTCGCGTAATGCCAAAGGGGAGTTACATGACTTGAAGAGTTGGAGACCATTGTGCTGAACGCACCTGCGAATGGGCAACTAGGTCTCCCAGTAGCGCCCTTTTACCTTTTTTTGGGAAAGGTTCCCCTACTAAAATAGACTCAAGAAAAAGTTGGCACCCTTATTCTAACCTCTCAAAACTGGAGGACCTAGGCAACGATGCCAGGTTTGTTGCAACTGGGTCTGCTTCCCCGGAATTGTCCGGCGCTTTTTCGGCCCTCCGGACGCGGCAGTTTCCATCGGAGCCCCGCTGTAAGTTGCAATCGAGGAACTCGAAGACCTTAGACAGGGCTCCTTAAAAGATACATTTTGCAACCATTTGAACCATGGCTTTTTCCACACCAAAAAATAAAGGGAAACCACCATATACAAGTTGCAATGTTCAGGTGTATAATGTAAGGATCCCTGTTAGATCAAAAACCTCGGAATCCAACAAACACCCATGAAAAAAAAACCTTCTGCGATCAGCATATTGGAATTCAAAGAAAAAGAGCCCTTGACGCAAGCCCCGCACAGGGCCGGCAGAGTGAGAGAGCTTGACCTGGGAGCCTGGGAACTATCGTGGTGGATCGCCAGGTAAGGGTTTCAGTTCATTCAGCGATCACCCCCAGTTCCCCTGTTGGTTTTAAAGGGAATCAATTTCACGAGTGTTCATTTATTTTTCCAGGGGCCTTCAGCAAATGGAAGGAAACCAACAGGTTACATGGCTGTTGTTGTTGGAAAACATTTTTCGCATTTTTGCTTATTGTGGTTGAGTGTAGTGGTTGAAATCCAACCACTGGACTGCTGCTAAAGTTTCAATTTTTGGTCCCCTTCCAACGTCAACCAAGCTTTGGTGTGATCCAAAACCTTCTAGAGCTTTTGGACAATTAGATGGGCCTAAGCCTGAGGTCGCGGGCGCTTGGAGCAACACAGCCAGCCGAAAAACCCCCGCCAGGAGCAGAAGCGCATCATAGAGACCCGGCTCAAGGAATGGCCCTTGGAGCGCCTCGTGGAAGAAGGCCTTCACGATCGAAGGGGGCGGCCGGAGAGGAAGGGATGCGTGGGCAACCAACCAAAGAAACGGTTGTAAAGGGGGTGGAATCCTCGAGAGGGTGGGGGGCAGCCAAAAGAAAAGGCAAAAGTGTCCATCGTTTTTTTTTTTTTGTGTCAACCTCCCCAACCATCCGCTGTTTGAACATGAATCAACAAGCACACCGGCTTCCATTGGGGAAGCCAGACCTGTAAAAGAACACAGCAACGAGGGGAACCAAGAGGTTTCTTTCTGCACCAGAGCTTACGGCCGGCATGCATCGAGATTAAGGGAAGGGCCTGAATTCCGGTGAGTCTGTTTGTTCTTGAAACATGTTGCACAGGCAGCTGGTCAGGTGACCGATGGAATGTTCGTTCCACCTTGCCAAGTGCTCAGGGGTGCCACCTGTCCATGGTTGTTGTTGGGAAACATGTTACATTTTATTTTGTTGCTCCCCTTCCAACGTCAACCAAGACCAACGAATGGGAAAATACATGGTTACCCAGCAACTTCCATTAGCAGTCGAAGTCGGGAGGGGAGTGACGTTCCAGAAAGCTGCCAGGAAGAGGCCCCAACGCAGGGGTGCGACAGCTGCTTTGGAGGATCCCCTGTAAAATCAGGTGACGTTTGGATGCACCCGCTCGGCAAATCTGGCTCAAAGACGGCCCGCTCGACTCACAACCCCGCGGATCTCGGAGGAGCGGGGATGCGCCGGGATGCGGGGATGTTCCTGCTGTGGATGGCTGCGAAATCCATTTTGCACCACCTAAGAAGCCGTGGAATGATGATTCTCCTGCAACTACCACAAATGATGGCGTGTCATGGTTTCAGAGTGGTGCGAAATGGATTTCGTCCATCAGTAGGACCTCGCCTACCCAAAGACACCCAGAACCAAAGCGGCAGTTGCTCAGTGGCACCCTCTATCCCTGGTTGTTTTTGCCCAGGGTCGCCATGCCCAGAGTCGCGCATTTTGGCCATGTTGAAGAACAGCACGCACCAGCCAATTTAGGGGATCCCCTTGAGAAGCGCTCTTTTTTTGAGATGTATCCTCTGAAGAAGCCCGCTAACAGGTGGTTATGACAAGTTTTGGAGGTGTTCCCTCATTATCTTCATATCAGCCACGCTTTCCCAAGGAAGCTCGTTCAGTGTTGAATGGGTTTGTAAAACAAATGAGCCATGGAACCCCTAGTTTGGAGGGACCGTGGGGGCCAAGTTTCCCGTCCATCCCGCCTTCTGCATAGAGAAAAACACCGTGTTCTTTTACAGCTCGCCCACGGGCTCTCGCTTTAACCAGGAAGGATGCTTTGGGGCCCCGGGCCCCCCCCCCCGTTTCTTTTTTAACCATGAGAGGATCCACTTTGTCTTTTTTTGGTCTCCGTAGGAAGAACGATGATGCTCATCCCAGTGAAGAACACCTTCGTCCACTTCGCCCCGGCGGGCGCTGGCGACGAAGTGGTTGGACGCCTGCGCCGCACGTTGTCCGTGCCAGTGCTGGAACAGCCCTCGATGACCGCTTCCCCCGGCCGCAGCGATCGCAGCGAGGCTAGCGAGGCGAGCGAGGCGGACTGCGTTTCCGAAAAGCGGCATTGAAAGTTCAGAGACAAGCCACTATTCTCGGTTGGATGGGTTTTAACTCGATGTTTGGGACGATTCAAGCAGTCTCCTTCCAGGATTCAAAACGTCAAGAGAACTCCTACTACTTGGCTTCTGTGGAACTATGATTGGGGAGTTTCATCCAAGCTGTTTTGTGGGGTTCGCCATTGGGGGGCATATCTAGGCCGTTTGCCTTTGGCTTCCGGGTCCTTATGGTGCTTCTTCAGCATCGTCAGCAATGGACCCTTCACCGAGGATTCCCTCCGGGTCAAGCTTGGCCGCCTCGGTTTGGCTGTGAAGGGGGGTTACAGGAGATACGGTTCTCAGGTTGATAATGGGAACCCCCGGAAGAAGCCCAAGGGCTGTCACCAGTCCGGATTCCTACCAAAACTTGCTGGAATTTGAATGAGACCTGGAATGAACCTGGGGATTCCCTTAAAGGAAACCAGCAGTTGGATGGTTTCTAGGGGGTCATTCCCCATGCGATCTCGGAAGGTCATTTCCCCCCGCGCTCGGCAGGTGTCAGCGCACGAGGCCGGAAACTGCAAGCCGTGCAGTTTCTTCTTCTTCAAGGACCCGAACTTTGGTGCATGTTGCTTGCTGGGATGTTAGGATTTTAACTTTTTGGCAACTTTTGGTGGTTTTCCGTAATTAAACCACTAAAAGTTAAACTTTTAGCAGGGGAGCAGATTTCGCAACCGAGCAAAAGTCATCACCGTAGTGAGCCAGAAGTACTAAACCCAGGGGGCGTCCCATTTTAGAAGGTTTCCCTTTGCTTTGGGAGGAAACTTTGCTAGTTATCAACCTGCCAGGTCGGTTGATTGGTCAAAGTTACTCCAGATTTTCACAAAGGCACCCTTGGTCACCCGAGGGCAGGTATGTTTCAGGCACTCTCCCAAGTTGTGCGTTTGACCACGGAAAGCTTTTCACATCCGCACGCCTTGGCTTGCAAACCATGCCCGAGTTTTTTTTCGAACCCTCCAAGCCTCCGATTGGACCTCGAACTGCGGGTGATCCTTGGTCGCAAAGTTGTGGCAAGCTCACCGGTTGGGGGATGCAAAGCGAGGGAAAGCCCAGAGACCCTTTTTGTGAACAAAGTCACTTTCCCAGAGAACTTGCTGCTACCTGTTGACGAGGGAAGACACAAGAGCAAATGGACAAGTCTTCAGTTTGTTTTCTTTCCGGATTGAAATCCAGGATGCCTAATTTCTAATTCTCTGGCTGAAGCAAAGAAATATAGCCTTAGAAACCGCACACAAGGGTATCCCTTCACACTGGATCTTTTCACAGCTGTCCAAGGCTGCGTAAATCCCACAAAAAGCAGGTTGAGATAAATCCAACAACAATCAGATTGAGAGCATGGACAGAAACCTGTGGAAAGAAGCATTATGCTGTGTGGTGTTTGCTAGCTTCTTTTTTTTTGGTGGTCGGTGTTTTTGTGGAATCGTGTGTGCGAGCTGTGGGGCTGCATGAAATCCGCGTGTTGCTTTTTGTGCCAGGGGAAATGGGCGGAGCCTAGTTCCCCAGATGAAGGTATAGGGAAACGTTGTGCTGCACCCAAAGAACTTGCCCAAGTTGTTTTTGTTTTTTTTCCTTTTGGTGTGTGTGTGTGTGTGTGTGTGGGTGCGTGCGTGCGTGCGTGCGTGCGTGCGTGCGTGCGTGCGTGCGTGCGGGTGTGGGTGTGGGTGTGGGTGTGGGTGTGGGTGTGGGTGTGTGTGTGTGTGTGTGTGTGTGTGTGTGTGTGTGTGTGTGTGTGTGTGTGTGTGTGTGTGTGTGTGTGTGTGTGTGTGTGTGTTTGTGTTTGTGTGTTTGGGTTTGTTGTGTCTTTTGTGGTTGGTTGGTTGGTTGGTTTTTGGTGTTTTGGCGCAAGAGCAGTGGGTGTCGACTGGTTTTCTTTGGGGGTGTAGGTGTAAGCTGGTAAGTTGTGGTTTTGTGTGGGATGACACAAGGGCGGCTGAAAGAAAGCTTCGCACAGCCAGGGCCTGGCAGCTTTGAGGTACCGGTTGAAACTCTAGACGCCGGGCTTGCAACGGGGGCATGCCTCTCTGGAGCTTGTCTTCAAGAAACAGAGCGAAGATGAGATGATATCCGCTGAGTTCAGTAAGCTACTCCTGGGTACATGTTTCTTAGCTTGTTTCTAGGGTGGATTTGCATGTTTGTTCTACTGTGCTGGCACCTTTTGAAGGGAAGTCGAATACTGTTGGGTCGCCGTGGCGAAAGCAACGATGTGTTTCCTTTGGTGCATTTTGCTTGGATGTTAGGACTTTAACTTTTTGCCAACCAGTGGTTTTCCGTATTAAACCACTAAAAGTTAAACTTTTAGCAGGGGAGCAGATTTCGCAACCGAGTTTCGATACAAACAGAAAAGTGGCTGCATACCCCATCTTGCCCTACAAATAGTGGTTTGGGAAAGAAAGCACCTCCAACGAAGCAGCGAGGGAGCAACAAAGAACTTGCAACGGTCCTCAAAGGTCGAGAGTAAAAGGCCGAGTCAGGATCCGGATCCCGAGTCAGATCCAAGGCCAAGAGCCTTCCAGGGAGTAAGGCCCAAAGGCGTCCCACCAGGCTTTCTCCAATGCTTCAAGTTCCCTTCCCTCCAAATTCAAAAACGGGGTCCCCAAGGAGATGAGCCTGCAAATCCTGATTTGCGGGGGGAGAAGAGCGGCCAAAAAAGACGCTCCTCCTCGTTCTTTCTGAAAAATGCCCCGCAGAATCAAAGGCACGCATCAAGAAAATCCGCCGGATGTGCATAGGTGTCCTTTTTGGTTGTTCTGGTGGAAAAATAGATGGCGATTCCTGGTTTACCTGGTGGTTTACTCATCTAGCAGGGCCATCCATTTGCCCTAAACGGACACCTACTGTGGATCTACCGCATGATCCCAGGAGGACGGGTGCCGCCAGGGCGCCTCGTGCAAGTTTTGCCACCTTTGCTCCGCCTCGGATGCGAAGCTCCAGAAGCGCAAAGGCCAGCGAAAGGCGCGCGCGCGCGCGGCGCGGCGCGGTGTTTCTTCTCTTTTGTTGTTGTTTGTTTGTTGTGTGTGTGTTTTTGTTTCTTGTTGTGTTTTTTTTTTTTTTGTCAGTTTTTGTGTTGTCGTTGTTTTGTGTTTTTGTCTTTTTGTTGTGTTGTGCTTTTTGTGGGGAAGGGGGTGTGTGCTCCGAAGAACGCCTTTTAGTCATCCAGAGAGGGACCCGTGTTTGTTTGCTTCTGAAGCAATAGTTGCATGCCGCCTCTCCCAACAGAGGCCCCTATTTTGGCAACCTGGGTTGCCGTGATTTGGTATTGGAATAGCTCATTCTTGCTCGCCCCAGAAGAAAGAACAAAACACTGGGCTCGGATTTGGATTTGTCCATTCCCTGATGACTGGAACTGGCATTTCATGCGCCACAACTTAGACG